TATTTTGGGCGTTAACAGAAAATTTAGCTGATAACTTAAGCTACTTATGAAATGTATACTGCGTGCATGCCCCAAGGGATCTCGAAGGAAAATTTTATGCATACCACAGGTGACTCCCGGACATCTTTGACTGGCCAGCAAAGGTATCCTTTATGAATTCCTGGACGGTGGCTTAAAAATTTTATAAATGACCAACCTGATGTTACAAGATTAAACAGAATTCGTTTCATTTCGCAACATTGTACTGTAAATGCATTTCTTCAAAAACAAGCCAATTCATCAAAATTCTCCTTTGTTTCATTTTTTCTTTTTTTCCCATCCATACCGTAACCCACCCTACACCCCCCATGGGATTTTCATAAATACAAGAGTCAGAGCTAAATATACTTTTAAAAATGATCGATGTTTTTTTATATTCAGCGACCACAGTTGGATACAAAGGGGATAAACAAGGCGGGACACCTCCTCTTAGGGGCAGGACCAATTTCCCCTATGTAACCTCTGGTTTTCTTCATTCTTGGTCTTTTTTGGGAATTCGTCAGAAACACGTCGCGGACTTCGGTCCGGAACGTTCTTCAGTACACCCGACTCGACATCCAGAATTCGACAAATCGTCTTCTTGTACGCTCCGGTCGTTTAAAACGCAGTTCATCCTTCACCTATTCTACCGGTCCTCGATCAGGTCTTTTTAATTGTAATGTTGTTTAACTTATTTTTCTAGCCAAATTTGGGTAAATTCATCATTATAAAAACCACGCTTCGCGCTTCATCTTGCCTAGTCACAACGACCCCGTAATACCTCATTACAATACATCAAAAACATTTATTGTATATAAAGTAGCGAATTCATAAAATGCCGTTTCTTCTATTTCTTAATCGCTTTATAGCCACTGTGATGTTCACTTATTTGCTGACGTCACACATCCTAGTTACCTTTTCTCTTTTTTTCCCCCCACTGCGACCTAAGACCAAAGACTAGTGTTGACATTTCTTAGCGTGCATCCCTACCCCAGCATGCACCTGTCGCAATCAGTCACTTCGTCCTCTTCCCTCCGTGTCGAAACTAGTTTAGAGTGCTACGAAAATCTTCCATTCCCTCCCCTATAATTACGCAATTTAGCAAACTAGGACTGTTTTTTGGGTGATCTTTCGCCTCTGGAAAAAAGAAAGGTTCGTGGCACAGACATTCTTTTCCTCATAGCCCTTTCCTATTTTTTTTTACACAATAAGTTCATATTTCTTGTAATACTTTGTGCAACAGGAGAGAATATGTGCGTCTTTCAGTAACAAATACAAATGATTATCAATTTTTATAGAGCTAATAGAAAAAAAAAAAACAGGATACTTTACATCATTCGAAATGCTTCGAGTGGGAACCTCCTTTCTCGTTCGAATTCGCTCAGATCTTGCACAGAGTATTCATTAGCCTAATGCGTGCTCTTTCTTTCCAAATCGATTTCCCCTGTAGCGCAACAACAGGTGTTAATTTGCCGGCAGCCACGGTTTTAATTATCCGCCACCCTCGGTAACCAAAAACAACTATTCATCCCGTACAGACCGTTCTAACAGCCGCTACCCCAATCAATCAAAGCGTTCCCCGTATATTAATTAACTGCATATTTTGTGCCCTTTGCACGTCTCAAAAAGGTTTTGGATCATTTATTTTTTTATTTTTATTGTTTTTTTCCTCTTCTTACACTAATGATTACATTGTCCCTCTTAATGAATTATTACCGATTTTATGGTTTTTGTTATCAAATAATGATTTATGGTTTTTTTGCACTTTGGACCGAAGACGGTCCTATTTTTCGTTTGTGAGGATGTCATATAATAGATCAAATAATGATTGATGTTTTTTTGTTAAAAGTAGGCTAAAGAACAACTGCATTACTATGGCGCAAACCCCTGTCCCTGGTTCAAATTTTGGACATCCTATCCTTGTTAAACTTTCGCTATCTTGGTAGTCTCTGAGCCCCAGGATATATAAGCACTCCTCCCCATCGCCAGGATCGCCACAGCTCATGAAGCACTTAACCTGTTAGTTTCATTCCTGCTCTGGGGAGCTTTGGCTCCCCAAAACCTCACCATTTTTTCCCTTATTACATTTTAACATTCGGTGTAGTTATAAATATGCATAT